AGGCAACCATTTTTTTTTTATGTCTGGAAAATGCCTTACGGATCCTTCAAGCAGCGGGGAAGCGAGAAAAATGTATCTGGGACTCTGCCCTGCCCATTTCAGCCAGCCCTGGGGCTCGATAAAATGAGGAGGGCCCTACCTAACGCCCTGTACAGGGCCAGTTGGAATGAACTTACTTTGACTGACATATTATAGCTACCTACGATAGGATAATGTGGCCGAACCTTATATTACCCATGTATTCGATCTTTTTGTGAAGTGATTTATGCACAAATTGCTAACAAATTCTAAAAGCAATGCATTTTGTTTGCATTGAAAAAATGTCTCCGTGTGGCTCTGACGCGTTCTCACCTCTCTGCCTCCCAAATCACGTCGGCAATGGGCTGAAATTGAGGTGTTGGGAAAACATAAAATGTGTCCGATTTTTGGGCAACGGTCGCCATCACGATTTCACGGGCGCGGTAATGGCGGCCATTAGATGCGTAGCGTCACGGAAAATAGCGGCCGACGACCTGCGCGCGCGCAATCACTATACACTCCGATATTTAAAATACCCTTAATTAAGCAAGTTCTATAGAAGATACCTATAAAAAATACATTTTAAGGATAGTTTTACAATATATTCCTATATTCTTTTACCTACCACTACCGATTTTTTATACCGTGTCTGATGTCATTGTAGTGCCTAATACGAAGTATTTTGAGCTTAGAGTCTAGAACAGTCGATGTTGAAAAGTCTATTTATTATATTTAAAAAAATACGGGCGTATTGCGAACCTCCATTTTGAAGTCGGGTAAAATTATCAATCCCTTGAATAAGATGTGTTGACCTGATTTAGGTAGACGTAGAAATATATAAACTCTCTTTGTTATAAACAATCTTCAAACATTCGTATTGTTATCTAAATATTTTTCAGGCGAATGAGTTCCGTGAATGTGAATGTCGACTGTACACACTGCAGTCCTACGTGTTTGCGCTGTATCCGAACGCATCGCATCTCCTTAACAACCATACACGATCTGCATGCACAATTTTCTAAATTGCAAGAATGAAACGAGTGCTCTCAGTGGGAAAGATATAATAACGGTAACACAACAGTTCGATAAAGCGCGGCCGATTGTTAACTCCGCAGTCGCCGCGCCATCAGCCATCAGCTTCCAATTATTCCGCTGGTTACACACAGAACATACTTCCAGGCGATCCGATTGAGTTGTTATTTTACATAAATACGCTATTAGAACTACTTAGCAATTAGTTTTATAGACGATACGAGGTTGAAAGGAGACGGTTCAAAAGTGGTACCTAGACGGTTTCCGGCAACGATGAAACATATATGTTATATCATTTGAATGCTTTTTTTGAGTAATGACATAAACAGATATTTGTATAAGGATACCTACAATGCGAAAGGATGGCGCTGCCTTGCAGCCTAAGAAGTACTAGAGAAAGTTCAAAATGGCCATCAGGGCCGCGGTAGCATAATGGTCAGTCCATTGGCCCTGATAGCAGTAAAACGCTTAAAAAATAAAAATATAACGTTATTTTTGTTTTGCTCCAGGGTGGTGACATTATATATAGATGGCACTGGTTCATATATATCTTGGGGCGCTTTTCATTGTAATATTTATCAAATCAATTGATATAATTACGTGATGCATAATGTTCAACAATTCAGTTAAAAAAAAATTGAAGCGCCCCACACTTATTTCAGTTATATATGAATAGCTCTACTGAAACATCATTACGACTTCTCCCCTTCTCTGTAACAAAGTAAATAAAAAGCCTAATATTTACCCTCTTTCAAAACATGAATGTAAAATCAAACTGAGCGGGTGGTTACTTAACTTGGAATATGACATTTTGGAGTCATTGATCAAGTAAAACACGCACATGCACACACACACACACCACATATACACACTCACTCATACACACACAGCGTAATGTATTATAAATACCTTGTTTATCAACGATATTAAATACCCTAGATACACCAACACGAACAAAATCGTGGCCGAAACTTGTCCAAAAGGTACATTGTACGATCCACGGCGCTCCGTAAGATGATCGCGTAGTCAAAAACCATATGAGGCATTATTTAAACATTGCGAGTCACCTTATTGCATACTGTATAAGGTCTTAATTAAAACGCATCCGTCAAAGAATACTGACAGTTCGAAATGCAAGCTCGTAAAATTTTACGACTTATGATATATGCGGAAGAATATAGACTTTATTATTTTGACTCTACGCGCAATTCTGAGTGCGCTGTTATCAATATAGCAGGTACGGAACGCGAGGAAAAAAGACTGCTATACGGCGACGTATAACCGACCATGCATTTGAATATCACAAATACATTATATTAAATCAGTTTATAGTAAGTATTAGAACAAATTTTGCTACAAATGCGTTAAATTATCAAACATTGATTAGATACCTGTCGAAAACACAATACTTGTCGTACTATTAGTATTTTTTCCCATTTTTTCACGCAGCTCTGTGGCATCTTGACTTTGTAACGGTCCGCGTGTGACTGTGAACCAAGAAGTGCTGAGTGGAGTTCAAGCACTTCTTGATTGGGACACATTTTGAGCGCTCGTGATATATTTAGGGTATTTAATATTGTTGTTATTTCTAATCATGCCTGTAATGAGCCTATCTTTTGAGGTGGGCGCTAAAAACTGTAACACTATAGAATGGGTTAATTTTAACTGTACTCAAGTAAAGATCAACACTTAGTTGTCATTCTGTAATACGGACCTTAGACTACTACGGTTGTTAACGCTAAATTGTTATATTGTATACGTTATATGGTTCAGAAATAAATAATATATATATATATAAAATAAATCTTAAAATCAACTATAAACATGGCTTACTCTAAAGCCCTAATGAAGTAAAAAGAGAGTATATTTTATTTATTTTTTAATTTTTAGTGCAGTAAGTAAAAGCGTGTTTTTAGTTTTTTATACTATTATTTTTTTCAGTACATAACCCGGCCCGGAGCACGGTGTCAGTGTGGGCGCGACATGCGACATGCGACACGCGACACGCGGCAGCGGCGGCCGGATCGATAGGGAGGCGGGCCCCGCGCGGCCACGCAGCGACGCGGCGACGCGGCGACGCGGCGAGGGTCAAGTTCACGGGAAAGGCCGGGGCCGGGGACACACTCAACAAGTTCACCGGCGACGATACCCTTTTGTTTACATAATGTTCCGTTGATGTTATTCAGTACTGTAACGTCCGTTACGTTACAGCCTCCTTGTTTAGGTAAACTCTTTGCTCTTGCAATGCCTACGGTTGGCAGTTATATTAAAAAGTTAATGTCATCATTTTAAGATTTGAAATAAGGAATCGTCTGTCTTTTTGACGTGACAACGTCTTAAATTAGGTTGCGGCTGGGAGTCACTTATGAAAAAGTGTAACGCTCGGTAACGTTACGATGAGTCTCTCGTGTTAAGTTTAAGTTTACATGTACAATGTTTTAGTAAACAAAATATATTTCTATAGTTAAAATTTGTGCAATTCTTATTTTCATTCAATTCCTTGTTCCTATTGTGCAATTTAATTATATTCATATCAATAAATATTCTACCGAGAAAAAGACGTTGTCACGTAAAATCTTCGCCCGTAAAACCGACTTTACAGGCAACCATTTTTTGATAGAAGGTTCCATACAAAAGACGATCTTCAGGCACCAACCCTTTCGTAGCTTAGATAAAAAACTTGTATTCGCCTGAATCAAATAAATTAAATGAATAATCCAGTATCTTTCAATTAGTAGTTACGCCCCTAGGTTCTATCCACTCTGGCTAGAACTCCGCAGTACCTACCTACTTTAACTATTATTTAGTTATATTTTTATTTTTAAGCATATAATTAGGGGATGTTGAAATCCAAAGAATTTTTTTTTAGAAAACAAATCCACGCGGACTAGGCAGCAGACGGGACTCGAACCCGCACCCTTCGCTATCCGGGCGAATGCACTGACTATTATGCTACCGTGGCCCTGATGGTTGTGTCGAATTTTCTCTAGTGTTGCTTAGGCTGTAGCGCCATCTCTTCGCTTTGGAGGAACCCAAAATGTCAAATAATACCTTTACATGTATTAAACTTTTGAAAAAAGAAATGGCAATTATAGTATTCATAAAGCATTTAATTGCTAAATATTTAAATCTAAAGAAGGGTACAAGTTCAAGTCCCGGCTGGTGCCTAGTCCGCGTGGATATTTTTCTAGTAAAATTTTAAATATAATTACTTCTTTCAAATGTTTAATTCTTGTAAAGATATTTCTTGAAAATTGCAAAGCATTGGGTTACCTATAATGTGCAGATGGCACTACCTTACAGCCTAAGAAATACTAGAGAAAATTCGACACGACCTTTAGGGCCGCAGTAGTACTGATGTTTCTTTCGACCCGAGGACATCTGATACCTAAGAATTTATACAAGGTATATAAATTCCTTGTTTGACCGAGTTTTGATAGCTTTTATAAACTAATGACCTCATATCGTTTCCATGTTTTTTTTATAATTAACTGGGTGAATGCTTCTACCCACCTGATGTTAAGTGGTGGTGGTAGTGGTATACCACTAACTTACTAGATTCAGTTAAGATGTTTCTTTATTACATTAGTCTATATATATAAAACTCAAAGGTGACTGACTGACATAGTGATCTATCAACGCACAGCCCAAACCACTGGACGGATCGGGCTAAAATTTGGCATGCAGGTAGATGTTATGACGTAGGCATCCGCTAAGAAAGAATTTTGATCAATTCTACCCCCAGGGGGATAAAATAGGGAATGAAAGTTTGTATGAAACTTTGTCAATTTGAAAACGCTCGGGCTGAGATTTTGCATGCAGGTATAAGTATCATAGATGAATGTCATTGTGCATAATCCAAGCCTGAGAACAAAAACTATAGTCTACACTTCAGCTCTTCACCGAAGCGAAGCGAGGGCGGGCCGCTAGTATAAAATAAAAACCATATGAATAGTATAAAAATATTTATTAACAAGTTCAACAATAAAACTATGTGGACACTTACACATTTATACACTGTACAATGGTTAATCCTATATTTACACACAATCTTGTAAATTATCACTTTGGACCCTCTAGTGCGCCGTCGATGTCGTGTCACCGATTGTATTATACGATACCTTATCATCATCAGCCTATTAATGTCCCCACTGCTGGGGCACAGGCCTGAACCTATGGATGGAATAGGGAGATTGGGCCATGACCCACCACGCGGGCCCAGTACAGACTGGCGGGTGCTAACGACTGCAGCATGCAGCCGGGACCAACGGCTTAACTCGAACTCGAGATAGAAGATTTTGGTCACCCATCCAATGACCGACCACTGCGAAAGTTGCTTAACTTCAACGATCGCAGTCGAACGCGATAACCACCATACGATACGTACTACTAGATTATGCAACCGCACACAATGCCGGTGATTCAAGTTAAAGCACGGCAACTCTGGGGTCGGCCGACGCTACATTGTAGGTGATGTAATTGCAACTTGCAATTCTAGGGCCAGTTAACCGCACAACCCGTCAAGTAATTAGCATTTATACTTTATCTGTACAACTTGTAACTTGGCCCGCTAACTAACTTATGCGTGTCCCGCGCCCTATAAATTTTGTTAATTACATAATATCTATATTATTTATTGCTCATTACTCTATGGTTTCCAGATTGCTGATACAATGAACTAAATCTGTGACCCGCAACCATTGTACCGTCATTTGAATTAGTATTAAGCGGTTACGTAGTCGTCCCGGATGCGGTCACCTTTTGAATTTGAATACTTAGTTTACGTAATTTACGTAGTATATATAATAATAAACATTTTGAAAACAAAATATTTCAATTAAATTTTCTTAAATCACGAAACAGTAATGTCGAATCCAAATTAAATACGTAGTGAATAAGCGAGAAACCTGATCTCTACCTAAAAAGAAAATTCTGATTGAAATAATTAAATAAGAAAAGTCGCGCCAGCTGGGGCTCTAGCACGAATTTTGACAGCTCCATAATCGTCAAATTTTGTATGGAAGGATCCAGTTTGATCTTACGTCCGGTAGAGGCGCTGCTTAATATTCATAGGAACTTTGACGATGCGATACGATACCAAGCTGCCAAAAATCCTGCTTGGGTCTCCGATCTATCCTTGTTTCAGAGAATACCTATAAGTAATATGTTTAAAACGTAAACTGAACCAAAAGTATTTCCAATAACCAAACTATGAAAAGAAGATTTAATACCAGCTCACAAAACGAAATAGACAAAGCCATGATATGACATTACTTAAAAGATTGTAATGCTTTAGATGTGCTAATTTATAGAAGAATATTCTAGAAGAAAATGCCTTCTGAAAACATGATCCATAAAAGCATATTTAGTGAGAAAAACCTCATTATGAACAGTAATGTGGAAGGTGTAAGGTCAGATTATTTAAAAAAGTAGTTTAAATGTATCTGTATTTACAGGAAATGTTAAAAAATATTCTTCTTTTGTCCTCTGAATTTCGCCAGGGCCAAGTTTTCGACTCAGTTTCTTAAACTCTGTCTGTTAAATGTAAGAGATACATTTTGTTCGTTAGAAAAAGGCTTATTTAACTGAAGGACAGAATTTATGGCGAGACCGTGGCCTTTAGTGGCTACGAGCCACTGCAACAATTGTGGAACACAATGAAGTGTTGAATATTGAAGTTCAATAAAATGAATTCTTACATCTAATTACATGTAACATCAAAAGATTACAATGACCTGCTTTGGTTTCAAACAATCAATCATTGACTAAATTCAAATTAAACAATACACAACTGATGGATCTAATTTTAGCAAATTTTAATGTGACAACAATCAGAACAACTTTTCGAATAAAAAGTTCCTAAACACTTTAAGATACTTGCTAAAATGTTTTCGTGATTTCAATGAAAATTGAAACCATACAAAACATTATGCATTTGTGAAAAAAAAAGATAAATTAATACTTACATGTAAATGCAAATGCCGATATAAATATATCGTAAAGAATAATATATAAACATAACCAATACTCAAGTTCAGGTTCTCAATTTGTCAATAAATTGTTAAGTAAATTTTCTATGACATTTTCTTCTTAAAGTTGTGTTGAAACATATTCATGCCTACATTTTATATGGTTAGGCAACATAAGCTGATTGTTTTTAGTGTTTTTACAAAATAAGTCCCGCAACAATCTGAAAGATCGGCCACGTTGGAGCTGACCGAGTGTTGTCCGTGCATTTGTATCTACGGCCCACAGATAAAAACACCAGTCCCCGTAGTATGAGCACCACAATTTGCAATATATCACGTCTTTTATCGCGCCTAACTGTCAAACCCTAATTGACAATTGAGCGTGTCATATATCGCTCATGCTAGGGGGGCAGGTTGTGTTGTAAAATAATGTTGCTGCAAGTGTAAAAAATATGGTTGTAATAAATAGTAATCAAGTGTAACCTGCCCGGCTGCACTTGAAACGCTACATATTTGGAATTTCATTTATCAATTAGCAAATCATGTCAGCAAATTGTACTATAAATGAACTTCCATGTAACTCACATAATATTCCCCCCCCCCCCCCCCCCGGTGTCAAATCTTAAAACTTATGAAAACACGATTGCGAAAAGTAGACAATTTTAATGTCGCGTACTATTGGCCAATTTGATTCCTGACCTACCATAATCTTATTTTCTTACAAACATTGCAAAAAAAATATGTAAATTTTCGCTTAAATAGATAGATTTTGCCACCTCCCTGTGACATATTGTTGACGTTTTAATATTTAGAGCTTTGCTCATCGATTTAGGATTTCCTTATTATTTTTACAAAGTAATTCTAATAAGTAATCGAAGGTTTAAAGCGAACGATAGGGCAAGTGGGTCACGAATCAGTTTGTTCGATAGTACATATCTGGATCAGTTTCAAGAGTAAGCCACGTGTCTGAATTCTTACCGTTTTCTTTAAACTAATTTAGAACGCATTCGTTTGCACCAGTGAACTATCATTTTAATACAATAAGTCGCATTCCAGCACAGACTTCTTATCACGCTACAGTTAAAAAATGATTTTAAGACTTCATCAACTATTTAAACAATAAACATTTACAAACATAAATGTTAACGGTACAAAAACCACCACACACTATTACATTTCATTATTTAGACGATATCAACAGATTTATAGTGAATTAATTTATTTAATTTCAGTATTGCAGAACTTTAGTTTCACATTGTTTGCTGGCAGCTGGAATCAAATATAATGCGTTTCAAATAAGAATAGGAAAGCCAATGACCTCCATCTGTCAAATGTCGCTTGAAAAGTACGGTTTGCAAAAAAATCTCGGAACACTTTTTTAGCACTCAACTGATTCTAGAATAAAAACCAAAAATTTTTAAACAAACAATAACAAATGTTGATAATTAATATTAGTTGTTTTTTTTTCATTTATTGAGCTTTTAGCTATGAATGGTTGATAACCTAAATCGTCAACCAAATGTCACTTTATGTTGCGTTCAAAAACTCGATTTAAAACTTTGGTTTACACATAGGATGCATGTTCGTATGTGACCTAGCAATAGTGCATGATTATTCATAACTTCTCCGGAGGTAATGCAGAGATGAGCGAAATTGAATGGCTAGATTGTTATTAATATTTTTTTTCACACAGTCTTAATAAAGAAATACTATTAAAAATCGGTTATGTTCTTTCTCAACCTTAGTAAATTAATTTTATTAAAAACCCTGATGTTTAGTCTCACTTAATTTGAGAAAATAAGTTTTATTAAATAGAAATCTTTTTTTGCTCACTCTACCTATTTGGTTTGAATTGACAGCTATGACATCAAAATATGGCGCCCAGTCGGTCCTATTCTTAGTTGAATCGCACTGTATATGATTTGCTATGTTAATCACAATAGAGTGTAAATATAATTATTACACTGATCTGTCACCGAGAGCCCCCGCAAGTGTATCCATACATACACATTTTATAAAATAATATTGCGACTTAGGGACGAGTGAACCTTACAAATAATCACTATATACAATTTACAAATACGTACAAGTGTTAAAATTACATTTACAAATATGTATAGCGCATAGTGCCTCCAAGATTTCAATCGCTACGGAACATTTCCGTACAAATATTTATTTAGTCTAACGTGTAAAAACATGACAGCGGATCACAGTTCAAGAATTTTTCATTAAAATTCAATTAAATATGACACACGATACCTTGGATCGACGACGAGTTCCAATCGTTCCGTCGGGATCCACGATCTATCGACGATCAATCTTGCGAATCGATACCGCGACCGTGCAGTCGTAAAACAATATCGTTGTAACGTCCAGGCGGCTTCAATATTGTGACAAGTGAACTGTTCACTAACACTAAACATTTAGTTCAATACGATATCACCAGATATCACCAGGTGGTCACCCATCTCGCAGCGCCGTTCACGTTTTATCTGCAACAACAACCGATACACACATTAAAATTTATAAATTATCAAAATCTTTACTTAGTTCTAGTCCGTAACGAGTTCTCAATAAACGTCGGTCTATAGGTTTGCAAACGTACGGCCGGAGACCTTGCACCGAGAACGAGCGGCAAGAGACTCAGCGAGAGCTATTTTATTCTCCCTGTGTTGTATTACGGAGTCGTCAAGTCGAAGAATGACTCAAATGATGTTTTTAGGGTTCCGTACCTAAAAAGGAAAAAACGGAACCTTATATATAGGATCACTTTGTTGTCCGTCTGTCCGTCCGTCCGTCTGTCAAGACCGTTTTTTTCAGGAACACGTAGAGGTATCAAACTGAAATTCATACCTTATACTCAGGTCTACTGTCCCTTGGAGCTGCGAAAAAATCAAACTTCTAAGCCAAAGCAATCAAAAGATACAGCCGTTTATGTCGCAAATTTTCGAAACTCGCACGGGAATCAAAACCTACAGGGTACTTCCCGTGAACTTAGAATCTTGAAATTTGGTACGAAGTAACGTCTTATAGTACAGATAAAGGAAAAATTGCGAAAACCGTAAATTCTTAGTTACATCATAAAATAAAAAATATTTTTGAATATTTTTGTACGGAACCCTTGGTGCGCGAGTCCGACTCGCACTTGGCCGGTTTTTTTTTTATACACAGACAAAAAATACTGTTCGCAGACGACGGCGCCTGTAGGACACCGTCGAACGGACCTCACGCCTGGCTCCCGCAAGCCTCACGAGCCCCAGCAGGGGCTGCCCAGTGAGGACCCCCCATATCTAATGCCGCTTCCTATATACTACTTAAAATGTTAACTATAAAATTAATTGTAACTATTTATATTCTAGATGATGTAATGGAAAGTGACTTCAGGCGTATTTCTGAAGTAATTTTTCAAATTGACGACACTGTATATAACAATACAGGGAGAAAAAAACAGCCCTTGCTGAGTTTCTCGCCGGTTCTTCTCAGTACAAGGTCTCCCGCCGTAGTTTTGCGAACCGATGGCGTAGCTTCTTGACCTTCACAAGTGCTTGTAACAGCCTAGACTGAATAAATGACATTTCATTTCATTTCATTTCATTTCAACTCTTATTGGCGCTTTACGGCATAATATACGCTAAAATACCCTTTAAGCTGCTTAGGGAACAATCCTCGTTTAGGGATTGTTCCGCGTCTCCGCCCCCAGCAGCCTCCACGGCAGGGGTCTCCCGGGGTATCGCGGGGACCCCGCAGACGTGCGCAGACAGGCCCCGCGTGGGGGCTGGGTACGCGGCCTGGTGATTAACCCCCCCCCCCCTCCCCCGTTCCGGAGGGCGACATCCCTTTCTAACTGTTCTCAAGTAAAACTCAACACTTAGGAGACGTCCATAAATTACGTGAGACATTTAAGGGGGAGAGGGGGTCGAGTCGAATCTCATCTGATCTTACGTCGGAGAGAGGGGAGGTCTCGGTGAATATCACGTAATTTTTTTCCGATTGAAACAAAAAAAAATATACTGTTTTGGTCCATTTCATCCAGATTGTGCATGCTTAAGATTTAATCTTAAGCGTGGTCGTGATACGATTAAAGATCATTCACTGATTCGTTCGAAAGAAAATAATTTCATTCATACTTCGACGTTATACATGATGTGGGTCATGTAGTAGTAGTGTAGTAGTCAAAGCGCGACAGTTAAAACGCTTTTACGAAATATTCTCTGTCGATCTCCCAGAGTGATCCTGTCGTCAGTATTATAGCTATACTCACGGGTCTCACGGGTCCCGCTTGGGCCTCAGCAGCAGCAGCTTGTTGTCTGGCTGGTTGTGCGAGTGTTGCGGCTGCATGGCGGCGCTGGTCTCGATCGTGAGGGTCATCTTGTCGTCTCCGCTGTCCTCGCCCGAGTCCGAGTATAGAGACGTGGCCTGAGATAACACAAAGCGCACTCATTCAATAACACCACATAAACATTCTTTAAATCTAAACAATTTGTTCTATAATTAACACTTAATATATTCATAGCATTCGTTTATTAATGTCAGATGACATAAACAACGCGGTAACCATGGTAGCGACTGCTTCATCGTCTTCTCTGTTATAATCTAAAGGAGATTGGAATACAACACAATTTTTTACTAGAAAAAAGCAGATAGCACTCGAAGTCGCAGCTTCTGTTATCCGTGCGAATGCACTGAACAATGATGCTAACACGACCTTAATGGTCGTGTAGAATTTCTTCTAGTATTTCTTAGGCTGCAAGGCAGCACCGTATCTTCGCATTATAGGTAACCCATAATGTCAAAACGAAATACTTTTATAAATATTAATGAACCCAGTGCGGATTGGTGAGTGACAATGGATCCAGCGCGGATTGGTGTATTTTTTTATCAACAAATCTTCAGGTTAAAGGACATCGACGAAATCGGCCCTAGCATGCCCAAAAGAATGTCCTTCACTATTATTTTTCTATTATTTTTTTAATTTATTAGCAATTAATCATAGTAAACGGACAATCTGTTTAAAAAAATTAAATTAAAAAGTTCTGTTACTAGATACTACAGTCTATTCATCCTAACTTGTCCTATTTGGTAAACAATGTTGGCACTCCTTTTTATTGAAAATACAGCATTAAAAATCAACTGATAACTGAATTGAAAATATTTCAGTCTATAATAACGATTTATTTTAATTGTTTATTGGCTTCGTTATTATTTAATTTTAAACGGGTGATTTTGTTAAAAAGTTGTGCCAAGATTGTTTACCTTAATAAATGCAATATAGGTGACCATAAGTATTTATCAACATAAGAATAGAACTAGGTACCTTAATTATTCATACTTGTCACTAGTATCTATTTATATTATATTTACAAAAAGATTATTTCTGAAATTATGTAAAGATAGTTTATACTCCCATCCCATAAAATATCTTTATTTTTTTTTGAAAATCATAATGATAACCAGGAAAATGTCTTATTACCGATAGTAAAAAATAGAAAACGGTAAATGGAAAGACTTTGAACATTTCATTTGAAAAGAAATCTATTATTACAACAGGTAGGTATAGGTATCACAAGTGCCAACTGCCAACACTCATAAATGAATATGAAAATGAGCATTTATTATTTTTATTATTAATTGCATTTTATGTTCATTTGATGCATATTATTTAAGTGCTTACATAGAGGTAAACACTAAATCTATTCAGAATATATAAAGTGTACATCTTTTACGATTAAGTATAATAATTATAACCTCAAAATCTAATACATTGTGTAGTAGGCCACTGTTCCTCAAGTTGTCCGTATCTCAACAAATGCCTAATTAGAGTTTATGAATGATTCCGAACACAACTAGCATTTTCTCATTGCTGGGCGTACTAGGGCATTCAATGTATGGGGAACGAGCAATGTCCTTTATGATTTTCAGATCATTGGAGCTAAAAAAGTTCTGAAGTGAAACTTTTTTAGCTCCAATGATCTGAAAATCATAAACCATCCATCACTGTGTGGTCATAAGCACACTCGTTTTTTTTTTATTTCAACATCTAGCAATTAAATCCAAAAAATATTATGAAATAATAGTTTATAGAACCTAGTAAGATTGCTCATAGGAATAAATAGTATGGATCAGGGAGGGTTTCCATGGACTGCGCGAACTAAAAGCCAATAATTTGATCAGCTTAGCAACTAAATTACATATACGGAAAAAATCAATGAAAAAAGAATGCACGCGAAATCCGATTCCGAAAAAGGAAAATTTGGTATTCGGAATGGAAGTGAATCCCCCACTGATCAAATGTTCTCGCACCGCAATATCGTAGAGAAGTAGGTATTTGCCTCTGGATAGGAAGGACTCTTGAGAAAGCTTTGACAGAGTTGTGAAGATGGATTTCTGCATCCCTGGCATGAGCAGTGCGACATTGGCGTAGCTTCTCGACATTCATATATGCTTGTAACAGCCTAAACTGAATAAATGATTTTGATTGATTAATTGATTGATTGTATATATGGTTATTATCCATTTATGTACCCATCTATGTTTGTATCTGGTATGGTGGGGCAGGATACTCTCGCCTCGCGTCGGAAAATCTCTTTGGCTTTGCATTGCCATGCGATCATCCATAATAAGGTTGACAATCCAGTGGTTCTTGCAAATATGAAACTGGTCGTTCCGAAAAGACACATGAGCGGAGCGTTGGGCAACGACGTAGGGGCGCCACGCAGACGAACAAAAGTTTTTGCGGAGCTTAAGGGAGTCCGTACGCGACGAGCTCAAAATGCACAGACTTCGAGAGCAATCTCTTTGCTTAACGCTGTACATGATCGAATTCCGGAGGCTGACATGTTATCCCAAAAATTATGTGTGTTTTGTTATTATTTAATGTCATATTTAAGTTGTATGTAAAGTTTAGCTGTTAGATTTGTTTTTTTTTTTAACCAGTGTACGGTTTGGTCTAGCACTGTAAGTATACTGTGTAGTAAATAAATAAATAAATATAACTCACTTTTATCACGCTCAATCGTCTAATTACCTACAATTGATACCCCACACGTATGGTTTTGATGAAATAAAATTTTTGAGTTTCAGTTCTAATATGAAAATCTTAATGCGGTTCACAGAATACATCTACTTAACAAGTTTCAACAGACACACAGACAGTTGACATACGGACGGACAGACAGACATGACGAAAACATAAGGGCTCAGTTTTTTTGCCATTTGGCTACGAAACCCTAAAAACGCGATATCATGACGATAGGATTGATTGTGCCCTGCTGAATGCTGCAATCAAACTATGAAGATTGTACAGTACGCGTGCGGGTGGTCTACCTGGTTATGTTATGGAATCCGAACTGCGTTCAAGTGGTTCCATACAAATTACGATCAAATGGGCGGGGCAAAAATACTGCGATCAACACGCCATCGTGAGATTGGTTGGGATTTCCGTTTAACATTACCCTACCGAATTAACGGATAGCCGAATTCATTTCATTCATTCTTTTTGGGTGCGTGTCGCTTTAATATTGAAGTTTAGTTGTGTGAGTTTGTGAGGCGGTGCTTGGTATGTATCCGCACGTGCTTGGCTAAGTGATCGGAGCGCATGAGGCACGTACCGTGAGGCGGTGCTTGGTATGTATCCGCACGTGCTTGGCTAAGTGATCGGAGCGCATGAGGCACGTACCGTGAGGCGGTGCTTGGTATGTATCCGCACGTGCTTGGCTAAGTGATCGGAGCGCATGAGGCACGTACCGTGAGGCGGTGCTTGGTATGTATCCGCACGTGCTTGGCTAAGTGATCGGAGCGCATGAGGCACGTACCGTGAGGCGGTGCTTGGTATGTATCCGCACGTGCTTGGCTAAGTGATCGGAGCGCATGAGGCACGTACCGTGAGGCGGTGCTTGGTATGTATCCGCACGTGCTTGGCTAAGTGATCGGAGCGCATGAGGCACGTACCGTGAGGCGGTGCTTGGTATGTATCCGCACGTGCTTGGCTAAGTGATCGGAGCGCATGAGGCACGTACCGTGAGGCGGTGCTTGGTATGTATCCGCACGTGCTTGGCTAAGTGATCGGAGCGCATGAGGCACGTACCGTGAGGCGGTGCTTGGTATGTATCCGCACGTGCTTGGCTAAGTGATCGGAGCGCATGAGGCACGTACCGTGAGGCGGTGCTTGGTATGTATCCGCACGTGCTTGGCTAAGTGATCGGAGCGCATGAGGCACGTACCGTGAGGCGGTGCTTGGTATGTATCCGCACGTGCTTGGCTAAGTGATCGGAGCGCATGAGGCACGTACCGTGAGGCGGTGCTTGGTATGTATCCGCACGTGCTTGGCTAAGTGATCGGAGCGCATGAGGCACGTACCGTGAGGCGGTGCTTGGTATGTATCCGCACGTGCTTGGCTAAGTGATCGGAGCGCATGAGGCACGTACCGTGAGGCGGTGCTTGGTATGTATCCGCACGTGCTTGGCTAAGTGATCGGAGCGCATGAGGCACGTACCGTGAGGCGGTGCTTGGTATGTATCCGCACGTGCTTGGCTAAGTGATCGGAGCGCATGAGGCACGTACCGTGAGGCGGTGCTTGGTATGTATCCGCACGTGCTTGGCTAAGTGATCGGAGCGCATGAGGCACGTACCGTGAGGCGGTGCTTGGTATGTATCCGCACGTGCTTGGCTAAGTGATCGGAGCGCATGAGGCACGTACCGTGAGGCGGTGCTTGGTATGTATCCGCACGTGCTTGGCTAAGTGATCGGAGCGCATGAGGCACGTACCGTGAGGCGGTGCTTGGTATGTATCCGCACGTGCTTGGCTAAGTGATCGGAGCGCATGAGGCACGTACCGTGAGGCGGTGCTTGGTATGTATCCGCACGTGCTTGGCTAAGTGATCGGAGCGCATGAGGCACGTACCGTGAGGCGGTGCTTGGTATGTATCCGCACGTGCTTGGCTAAGTGATCGGAGCGCATGAATCGCTTGGAGCACTCGGGACACTCGAACCGCTTCTCGCCCGTATGCGTGCGACGGTGACGCTGCAGCTCGTCGGATCGCGTGAATCTGCAAGACAAACAATATTTATTTGAGTTAACAACACAAGGGACAAAATTACAAAAATATTAAAAACATAAACCGCTGATAGAGTGACCATCTGGCCACAGTGATCAGAATCTAGTTGACTGCTGATCTGGTTTGAAAGTGGTATAGATCTTCTATCTATTTAGACATTGTAAATACAAGTGGCTGAAGTAGCAGTTATTCTAATTGGCTCCACAAACAAATTCTAACTAATGACATCTGTTTACTCGATCAATTTTCTATAAATAAAGGGGGTAGCGGGTTAAGGGGGGTCTGGCAGCCCCCACCGAATCTGGTAAAATCGTTCCAAAAATCTTGAAGAGGGTCGAAAAACAAGCAGTATAAGCTTTTTACCGACATAACAACCCCAAACGAAAACACAGTAATGGCGAAAAATATGATTTTTTGTGATTTTTATTTTTTTCAACCAGTTTAATTTATTTTTAAATGGTTTAAATGTAATTAAAAATTTGTGTTTGATGTGTGAAAGTCCCCTGAATTTTTCCAGATTTTCTGGTCAAGTAAAAAAAAGCATGTGAATTTTAGGTTTAAATGCGAAAAAATGTTGAAAAACGCGTCATTTTCAAGATTCAACCCTCTTATTTTTAGGGTTGTTTTCATTTTCCCGTGGGGTGCTGTATAGTATAGATATCGGCAATCGCCCTCTTTCGAATGCAGGCAATTGGACTCAATTTGGTCAATTCTGGTGAGCGGGGCGATTCTATGAAGAAAACTCGAATTTTCAGCTTTCGGTAAATTACGGCGCGTACTTGGTATAATGCGTCTTTGCTATAAAAAATACATCTCTATAGGGGTTTTTGAGGTCGCTGATCACGAACTGCTAGATGTTTAAATGTCATTAATTTTTTTATAAATAAAAAAATCAGGTCAGTTGATCCACCCGGATAGTAGACGGTGTAGATTCGAGTCTCGTCGGCTTACTGGAAAGAAACTTTAAATTTGGTTTTGTTTGGTTTAAAAGATTATTGAAGTTAGCCAACGACGCCACATAAAGTTTAGTTATTCGAAATCTTATGCTAAGCAAAATGAGCTTCAAAAGGAATACGAAGTTTTTCATTTGCATATTAATAATAAAACATTGAAAATCCATTTTTGCATAAGAAATGACGACACAACTAGAATATGGACTTTGCTCACGAATAGACCTTTAAGTTATAGAATTTTTACAGTTAAATTGAGATAACGTCGTACAGCGAAAAACCAGCAAATCGAAATTATTTGATAATAAAAAATCAACTAAGGTCGAGAAGTCCATTATATACCATCAATTTATTTTCAATTTCGATTTACTGGGTTTTCGCTATAAAACAACGAAGTTTCAAAGTCTGACGTTACGTTTTATGTAAGTAATACATATTACCAATTACAAGGTCATGAAGACACAAAGAATGGGGTATATTAGCAGGAAAGTCATCTGCGCAGTATTTGTGTTGGAATAGCTCCATAGTGTAGTGTAGTGTAGTGTAGTGTAGTGTGGTGTGGTGTGGTGTTATCTCACCGCTTGCCGCAGAACAGCCAGTTGCAGGAGAAGGGCCGCTCCCCGGAGTGCCAGCGCAGGTGGGCGCGCAGATGTGATGTCTTGCCATACACCTTGTTGCAGCCCGCTATGTGACAAACGTGCTGCTTCTTGCGGTCCACCACTTTGCTGTTGGGGTAACAAATACAGATTATTTTTGTACAGAAGGAGCTAAGAATATTTGTTTTTAACGTTCATTTCTAGTTTCTTTTACACAACAAAGATATTTAATTGATTTGAGACAGACTATTTTAGTTTTTAAAAAGAGTTATTATAATATTTTACTAAGCACTTAACTGCAAATTGTTTAAAACTTAAGAAAAAAACGTGTGCGACAGAAGTTATAACTTAAAGTATCCTTTTTGAGCAGCCGCTTCCCCCCCCCCCGGGCTGCCGGCGCGCTGCTTGCTGCCCCCCCCCCCTGCCCCCCCCCCCCCCCCCCCCAGTATGCATGCACTCACTTCTCCCCCTGGTCGCAGTTGGGGCAGGTGCACGCGACCCGCTTGAGCAGCCGCTTCCCCCCCCCCGGGCTGCCGGCGCGCTGCTTGCTGCCCCCCCCCCCCCCCCCCCCCAGTATGCATGCACTCACTTCTCCCCCTGGTCGCAGTTGGGGCAGGTGCACGCGACCCGCTTGAGCAGCCGCTTCCCCCCCCCCCGGGCTGCCGGCGCGCTGCTTGCTGCCCCCCCCCCCCCCCCCCCAGTATGCATGCACTCACTTCTCCCCCTGGTCGCAGTTGGGGCAGGTGCACGCGACCCGCTTGAGCAGCCGCTTCCCCCCCCCCGGGCTGCCGGCGCGCTGCTTGCTGCCCCCCCCCCCCCCCCCCCAGTATGCATGCACTCACTTCTCCCCCTGGTCGCAGTTGGGGCAGGTGCACGCGACCCGCTTGAGCAGCCGCTTCCCCCCCCCCCGGGCTGCCGGCGCGCTGCTTGCTGCCCCCCCCCCCCCCCCCCCAGTATGCATGCACTCACTTCTCCCCCTGGTCGCAGTTGGGGCAGGTGCACGCGACCCGCTTGAGCAGCCGCTTCCCCCCCCCCGGGCTGCCGGCGCGCTGCTTGCTGCCCCCCCCCCCCCCCCCCGCCCCCAGTACGCATGCACTCACTTCTCCCCCTGGTCGCAGTTGGGGCAGGTGCACGCGACCCGCTTGAGCAGCCGCTTCCCCCCCCCCCGGGCTGCCGGCGCGCTGCTTGCTGCCCCCCCCCCCCCCCCCCCCCCCAGTATGCATGCACTCACTTCTCCCCCTGGTCGCAGTTGGGGCAGGTGCACGCGACCCGCTTGAGCAGCCGCTTCCCCCCCCCCCGGGCTGCCGGCGCGCTGCTTGCTCCCCTCGCACTCGGTCCCGGAGCCGGCGCCCCCGCTGGCCCCGCTGCCCCCCCCTCCCCCTCCGCCCGCGCCGCCCCCACTCCCCGCGCTACCCGCACTGGCCGCGCTCACCGTCACCACCTGCCACTTGCCCGGCTCATTGGGGTCCTGCTGGATCTGTTGACCTGCCGAACGATAATAGAGTCAATCTTCCGATCCTGACCTCATTCCGCTCCTGAATAATTACGACAAATCTTTGGAAAAGCCCGCGTCCAGAAGTCGACTCGATCTGCCTTATTCCAAAACACAAAGTTAGTCTCGGTTTAAATCTAATGTTAATTCTGTCTTATTTTTAACACACAAAAGTGACAGCAAAAATTTTAGTAAAGGTTTAACTTTAGTTTACGTTTTGTAAAAAAGCGGATTGGGCCCGGACAAGAGAATATTTTCTATAAAACCTCTCGAAACACAAACGGAAATCAGAAGATCTACTGAAGCTATATAAGTATATGGTGCAGCTGTACGGAGGGCAGCCCCAGCGCGGGCACGAGCTGTAGTGTGTACTGGTAGCGTGGTATAGTGACCTATGACAGGCTGGTGATGCTGGTGATGTTGATGCAGCTGATGCAGCTGTACGGAGGGCAGCCCCAGCGCGGGCACGAGCTGTAGTGTGTACTGGTAGCGTGGTATAGTGACCTATGACAGGCTGGTGATGCTGGTGATGTTGATGCAGCTGATGCAGCTGTACGGAGGGCAGCCCCAGCGCGGGCACGAGCTGTAGTGTGTACTGGTAGCGTGGTATAGTGACCTATGACAGGCTGGTGATGCTGGTGATGTTGATGCAGCTGATGCAGCTGTACGGAGGGCAGCCCCAGCGCGGGCACGAGCTGTAGTGTGTACTGGTAGCGTGGTATAGTGACCTATGACAGGCTGGTGATGCTGGTGATGTTGATGCAGCTGATGCAGCTGTACGGAGGGCAGCCCCAGCGCGGGCACGAGCTGCACGCCGCCGCCTCCCCCCACGCCCACGCCCAGCGTCGGGACCTGTGCCGCAATCATTAGCTTAATACACAACGAGTGGAGGGTCCAATCATTTAGCAACAAAAAAATCGCTGAATCCCAATAAGTACATCAAGGTTTTATACAAAAAAAGGGTAGACCATTATTTACCCTGTCGGGAACATAATCAAGGAAGTAAGGAAAGAGAATGCGCTTTTACTATTAATGTGGTATAAATATCCATAATGCATATAGATACAATTAATCAGGGTTGCAAATTATCAAGATAATTATTTTCTCTGATAATTTATCCAACTATCAAATGAAATAGCATATAAATGAAAGATTTTTTCTATTTTTAGACATTACTTTTACCTGAGAGTCTTACAACTACTTTTATTTAAAGAACTATTAATTTTGATATGTGTACGACTTAATAATTGTAATTTTTGACTGCTATTACCAGTGTTTTAATTAAATATAATGCAATTTTCAATTTATATACATATATTTTTTGTTATAAAGCTAGAAATAAAAGGCTTTTTTTACATTTTTATTTACTATACATAATTATCTAAATTTTCAAACAAAAAAAAATAAATATAATAAAATCACATACATAATTGATTAATTTCTAATTTTTAACTAATAAATTCAGTGGGATATTATCCTCATAACCTTAACCTATGAAAAACAGACAACAAAAAATACATCGATTGGTGGAAAAACTAAAACAACTGGGGATTTGTGGTTTATTTTTCTACAGAAGTTTTATTTATTTCCATGCATTTTTTTTAAAAAAGCACTATGTAAGCCTCGGCGAAACTAGCAATTGCCTGACTCCTATTATTAAAGTCCTCTCCTACGGCTTGGATTTCAAACTCTACTCATCCAGCAATTGCTGATTTTCCGCACTTCGACAAGAATGTACTATTATTTGGTTTTGTACAATAACAGTTACTCGTTATTATCATTGATAATTATCAATACATAAATATCCAGTGCAACCCTGATACTAATATTATAAAGTTGAAGCATTTCTTTGATTGTTTGTTTGGTTGAGCAAGCTGATCTCCAAAAGTACCTACTTGTCTGATTTGTATAATTCTTATTGTGTTGAATAATGCATTTTTCGAGGGAAGTTACAAGTTATATAGGTAGGTAACATTAGGATGCTACCTAACTAATAGAATTGGAGCACAAACAAAAAATGTTGCAAAAACAGGGAAAAGGCAAATTAAGTCCAGTGAACTAGGGGTCAAAACAGGATGGTACCGAGTTGTGACCATTCTTCGATTTTTGAAGTTATACTTCTTTAGCCGCGTTATGAAAAAATTATGAGAGTGAATTTTTCATCACTGTAACACAAAATTTTAACATAATGAAGTTAGCCGCGGGCGCGTTATTTGTAATATTTTATTTTCCAAGTGACCGTGGGGCAGATTTGAACAAAGCAAACAGGGCAGATTTGAACGGGACATTGAAATGAAATGAAATGAAATGCAATGAAAAGTCATTTATTATTAATTTATTGTAATTAATTATTTGCATGCAATTAAAAACTAATTTTAAACGATGCCAAAGAAGGATAACTTCTCACGCGCCTACATAAGTACACGCACCCATTTTTTTTTTTTTATTTCTGGCTTGATGCCAAAACTCTTTAATTGGGAGTAAACTACTGCTCTGAATATTGAATTGATACTTTTCTGAAAGCTGAAAAAACAAAAAAAAAATGTTTCTAAAGTCCTTTTATTTCAGAGATTATTTTATCACAAAAATTTCAGCTATCACAAAAGTATTAATTCAATGTTCATAGTAGTAGTTCTGGTCCTTGGCAGCAATTCAGAAAACTTTAAAAATTCAAAGAATCACCACAACTCGGTAACCATCCAGTTTTGACCACTAGTTCACTGGACTTATTGGTTGTAATGACTTCTAGTATAACCCCTTTCAAGGAATAGGTCGAGTTTTTCTGTCACCCTGTATACAGTGAGCCTAATTCTAACAACATAGACTAAGCCTTTAGGTACTATTACATTTCTCCAAGATAAACAAAGATATAGCACCCATATAACCAACTAATTAACTTAACGAATCTCAAGCACAGCTCCCTTCGGGATATGCAAAATAACATCTCAAAAATGTTATTAAAATGGACATATGACAGAGCAGAGAATCTTTTAAGGATAATAAGTTGAATATACACATACACACACAACACACAGTTACACACACACACAAAACACTCACATACATATGCGCGTATCACCGATGTATCCATTCTTTTTAGTTTTTATTTGTTTGTATTTTTAGGCCGTAAATATATTGTAAATTGTTTACTTCCCCCATAGGACGGGGGAGGCTTCGCCTAGTATGGGTGACTGTTATATTATTTTGTAAAACAGTTTTTGAATAAATGGATTATTGTTATTATATGATTTTCACCTAATTTGTAAAGGCACACAGTCAAACAAAACAAAAATTATCAAAATCCATCCATAACTGAGGAGCTGGCAAACAAAATGGTATAATTACGCATCTAGCCAAACTATTTTTTTTAGTTTGCAGGTTCTGGGCCCGCTGAATTCGAATACAGTTAATTTTCAATCAAAACCTCGTAAAACGAGTGTTAAAATAACTAAATTTATGAATAAAAAACCATGACAAAAGCTCACTGTATATGGTATGTTCAGTTTTTTAAAGCTCCTGTAATATTTAAACTATATAATTATACCGCTTTATTCACCAGCTCCTCAAATTTAAGCAATGCCACAAAGATCAATATAAAAATTCCTTCAAGTTTACACCTAACTCATTGTACTCAGCTACACCTTTGTAAGTAACATAACTCAACCTATACAAACAGTAGGAACAGTTTCCAAGTAATTAATATTGAATTACACCATCCAAAGAGGTTTTATCACACTTGCACCAAAGGCTAATTTCACCATTGTTTTTATTCACTTATATTAATTTATCAAGGATTATTCTTAGAAATAATGTTAATATTTTTATCGTACCTTATATGAAATAAATTGATTACACCAAATCACCAATCAAATCAAATGCTTTGCATTTGCAAAACCCGTACCACCATTACGATTTATTCTTAACTTTAAACTACTTAAGCAAGTGTGACATGATGCAGGTCACATTCTATTTAAAATTAATATTCCCAAATATAGAATTAATAGTTAGTTCAACAGCAGAGCAACACATGAAGGACCTCTTGAATACATGGTTTTGAGGTTATGTTGTTTGTTTGGATTACTGTAACTTTTCATACTTCTTTTAATTGATTGATCCAAAAATAAGATTGTCTCCATGATCCAAATACTAGTTAATTCATTCACTTACTGATCTGATGATTATTCAAGTTTGTCTTTTAATCAATTCCAGTACAAATAAAATACAGTTCCAATTAGCGAAATATCATAGGTACTATTTACACACACAAATTACGTATATTTTCTAAAAAATCTTCTTGAAAACAATATTCAAATAGTGGAGTTCATTGTGTGGTATCATAAAAGTTCGACATCGAATAAACGTCTTACGATATAAAAGTACCTTTTACCAGCATTAGGGAGGTAAATTATCAGTTAAGGTTTGGTGGAACACTAAAATATGTTAACAATCCATTAAAAGTATACTGGAATAAATAACAGTATGGTGAAATTAGGCCTCGAGTGCATCATAAAATATGACAGAATATGTTTATTTACAAACATGCAAGTTATTTTAAAGAATAACACTTAAAATTTGCTTTTTATACTTATTTGACACTCCACAATCATAAATTATTACATTTCTCTTCCTCGGTTTTGACTTGCGCGGAGACATGAAGGGAAGCGTTTATCAACACAACCACAAACTAAAACCAGCTGTTATAACTAATCGTTCCTCATTTAACTTTGGACTCCTCTGTTCTTGGAAAATCATAACCAGAAACTGAACAAACGCACATCTAACCTCAATAAAACATAACCCAAGCGCACTTCACTGACATTAATGACACACTGACACAGTCACGCTCGGCGACCTCGCAGCATAGCCGACGCGTTCTTTTGTTGTTGGACGCTTAGGCGTGAACGCGTCTTTATTAAAATGCTATTGGTGGGCTCTCTCTATGGTTTCGTGCCTTATTCCGACCAACATGCTATACGTGTAAATGAGCTTTACGACATTATTTAATCAATGAACAAACTAATTAATTTTCATTTATTTTAGTTTTGCGCTTTTTTACCTATATTATGCAGTGTCAAAACCGATAGGTAATTGAAAATGAAAAATTAAAATTTTTCTTTTTAACCGACTTCAAAAAGGAGGAAACATGGAATAGGTACTTTCATTTTTAATCGTACCTACGTGTTTCAATCTTGAGCCCGCCTGAATTCCAAATCATAACGCAAAATGCATAATTTTTAACTTTTTAGTTTCATTTTTGATTCCAGTCGATTTAATTTTTTGTTTAAATTTTTTAATTAATCACGTAAAAACAGCTGAACGGACTTGAATCAAATTTGTCACACATGTTATTTATTACCTTGATCAAGATATAGGATACTTTTAATCCTTGTTGGGTGCTTGAGGGATTCTCAAAAAATAAAGTTATCGCGGAGGAAGACGCTGGCAGCAGCTCAATAAATATAAGCCAAAACTACACCCCTTTAAAAGCCAATATATAAAGTTTCACATCAGTCATACAGTATTGCTTAAAGAAGAGCATGCAAACCCAAGCAATTAGTATTTTTAATCGATTCGTCATGAGAGAAGAGAAAGTCACACATAGATATAAGTATATAGATATTGTAGAAAACGAACGTTTAACGTAATTATACATGGTTCTTTAGTGTTCAATTTATTTCCCACGAAATACAAGACAAAGCGATCCATCCACACATGGTGGCAAATAATGAAAAAACACATTAGAATGCAAAAAAAATACCAATCGGACAATATTACAGTATTTATGACTTTTAATACTAGTGTTAAGCGTTCTAAGAACCTTAGAGATAACTTAAGTCGCGTCGTTCTAAATC